GTATCTCATTCAGTTTCTTTAGGATTATCACTCAAAATTCCTTGTCATTCATTTCAAGGGCCTCTTGTTCTATAGGATAAAGCTCCCAGAGCTGGGCCGGTCCTGCACCTTCCTCTCCGTCTCTGCTTCGTCGCTGCTGTCTTTCCTGGCCTTTGTTACCTTGGGCTGCTCGGTCTCCCGGCGCAGTTGCGGTGCTCTCAGGAATCTTCTTTTGCATCAGCCCTAAAACCTCAAGACTGTAGTTGCTTTTTTTCGTTGTAGATTAGTTGATCAGTGATTTATTTGTTTTTTGTTGCTCTTGGAAATGCAAATAGTACTCTGGCAGCACAGCGCACACTTCACAGGCTCTCTCTGTCCTCTGGCACGCTCACTCCAGACCCGTCGCCATCTTGCTCCCCCCCAGAAGATAGATTTTGAACAGAAAAAAAAAAAGGTACAAGATGTATGAGCTAACAGAAAGGAAGGCCCTCCAGATAGATGTAATGCTTAGCATGTAAATTTAGGGTGGTAGAGAGCCCTTCATGTGTGGAGAGTTATGAAAGATTGAGTCTTACTGGACAGGGGTAACAGGAAATGACAATCACACCACAGAGTTAGGCAGGGACCAAATCACGAAGACCCTTGTATACAATGCTAAAGAGCCTATGCTTTAACAACTCTACTAGGCAAGTAAGGAGGAAAAATTTTGTATGCGGGATAATTTGATTAAATGTGCATGTTAGAATGATCATACCAGCAACTCTGTGTCAATCACTTTGGAGAAGGTACACCTGGAACAGGAAATCACATGGGAAAGCCACTGCAGAACCCCAGGTAAGAGATGCCAAGGGCCTGAACTAAGGCAGAATCAGTAAGTGAGGGTGGAGAGAATGGCAAAGAGAGAAGAAACATCTTGCACATAGAACTGTCAGAATTAATTAGACATTGGGAGAAAGGAAGAATAATCAAAGCAGTGAGTTCGACCCCAAAGCACAAAATTGGTACAGCAGTTCATTCTGTAGGCCGATGTTTGCTCACACACTGTGATACTGCATCAGGGAAACCTCCAGGTCATGGTCTGAGGGGATGAATGCAGGCCATGGTTAAGTAGGCGGAGGGCCTCCTAGGAGACACAGATGACAAATGAAATATGAGATCGCTTGAAGAGTTGAATTGACATATGGTCAGACCAGATAATCTGCTAGGCTTGGAGACAGTGGTCCTGCCTTTAATTCCTAAATGACATTTATCTACATGCAACTAAGAGGCATATGGTTAAGTCACCTTACCTTCCTCCCATCCTCCCACTCACATTTACTGTATCGGCAAAGTGAACCAATAACAAGAACCTCTTTGTGGCCCGGGTGTGTATATATTTCTGACAGTGTGAGAATGGCCAGTTTGTTTGAGTAAATACTTACATGTCCTTTTGTTTCTTCATGATTTTTTCAGTTTCTTTGATTTTTTTACCTATGTCATAGACATAGCTATGACATTCAGTTTGCGGACAGCTTTCTCCCTCTTTCTTCACCAGTAAATTGCACATACTTCTAGCTCTTTCTTCCACATCATCATTCTTAAAACTTAAAACAAATAAAAATAATGCTTTGAAAAGACTATGTTTCCATTCACATTATATTTCCATCTACCACTATCATCTTGATGTATAGCTCATTGGGAAAATTTTTTGGATCGATGTATCTAAAGGCCAGTAGCATTTCACTCATTATATTTTGGGTCTACCCAAGAAATTTATAGAACATTACTTGTGAGGTTATGGATTTACTACCATGTTTAGGAAGCAGACTTTGAAAAGAGATGTTATTTAACTGATCAAGATTAAATTGGTGCATTGGAGAAATAAAGACTAGGAAAGTCACAGTCTAGTATGTGTGCTTAGAAGATCTGATACGTAAACAAGCAAAAATAATAGTAGCAAACAATTATAAAGGGCTTACCAAGTTCCAGGCACCGCTCTATATGGATTAAATACATTAATTCATTTATCCCCACTATGACATCATGAGGAAGGTACTACTATTATCTGTGTTTTACAGATGAGGAAATAATTTCCAAAGGAAATTTCAGAACTTCTCCAAGGCCACACACAGTATAGTAAAGGATTGGGTTGGGATTAGCATCCAGGCAATTCAGCCCTTGAAGCCAGGTTATTTACCACACTGGCAGTTTACCTTCTAGTTTGTAATACAAGCTAATGAGCAATACTCATGTAATGATGATTGTAAGTGGTATCTTACATGGCAGCATTAAATGGTTTCATCCTACTGTTTTAAAGCAAACAAATGAACAAACCTACTTTACCTAGAAATAATTCTTCTTCAATCCCTCTGATTATCTGTGAAAAATGTCCAGTGTAAGGAAAAGTCCTGAACCAAGCTAGTTGGACCTGAATCGATCATATTTTCAACTGCTGAGTTAAGTGTTTATAGAAATTATTTCATTTAATTCATGCCCCAACCTAATGAATTAGTTATTAGGTTTGGCCCAAAGTGTGTGCTCTTAGCCATGCCTCTACATGGGCCCCAAACACTAAACATGCACCTTGCCAGCACCAAGAGTCCAGATTAAGGAAGGTTGGCTGGTCCAGCTTGAGCCTAAACCAATCGTCATACAGAGTTTTCAATGTTCCAGTGTTGCAAACCATTGAGTAAGACCTAGGATTTCTGTGTTATAGTTTTAAGAAAAGTGAAAGTTTCATTGAAACTTGCCAAGATCCTCTGCCCAGATATTTTAGATATTTAGATACATAATAAAACATTTTCTCTAAAATTTTAAATTTGTATGTATATATAAATAAGGAACAAGTCCTATTTAGATTCCTATCTCAAAGTTATACTTTCAGCCAGTCTCCAAGATATAGGTATATATTCATTTCTAACTAAAATCAATAGCCACAGTGGAAAGTAATCTAGGTAGATATTGTCACATATCAGCAGAATGCCTCATTTATTTACATTGGCACAACAGCAAAAAAAGGAGAAATTTTCTTGCAATTCCCAAAATGTGTGTCCTCACTCATACTAACCTTTTATTTCTATCATCATCTTCCTTTAGTTACCCACCACCAACAATGACTTTCAGATGCATAATATAAATGTGGCTGTAGTGCTACATTTAATATATCTACGCGCACAATGTTTTCTGTATCTATGTATGTAAGTTAACATTACCCTTGATTCAAGGTGCTGAGAACTTTTATACAAAGCTTCCATAATTAAAATAATTTAAAATTATCTTGGCTAAATACTTTTTTCTATTCTGACCTCCAAGTACTACCCACTTAATGTGTTTCTCTTCTGTTCGCTTTATTAAAGCTAGATGCTTACATTCTACTCAAGCTCTTTGTATTATAGCACATTGCACTGTACTCAGGAATGCCTCCAGGTTTTTGTTTTCTTAACTATAAATTAAAAACCAAATATACCAATAAATTTCGAATACTTTATATGTTTTACGTGTGTACATGAATGTGCAATTTGGTTTCTGAAGGAGCATTTCTAAAGACATATACTCAAGTAAAACTGGTTACTTATAAGAAAATTAACAAAGCTAAATAAGTCAGTCAAAAAAATCAAGAGTCAAGGAATTAAAGGGACAAAAGTAGAAATAATTTTACAAGGATTGAACCAGAAACATATGTTCATTTCTTTAATAATAAAATCTAGCTATACTGAGTTTTTTTAAATACACACTAAAATGGTAACAAATGTGCTTACTTCTACCCACTTTATATGAATGAGACTAATTGAAAACAGAACAAAATAAAAAATTCTAACGCATAAGCAGAAACAAATTAAGCTTCAATAACTTACCAAAAAACTAGTGCAGGCAACTTATCCATTTGTCTTAATTTTTCAATGAGAAGGGGAAACATTTTTTCCATATCTTCTGAATTAGACAATGAATCTGGGCTAAGATTCCTCAGTACTCTTTCAGCCTAGAGTTGCAGATAAAAATTGATTTTAAAAAAATTTGCATAAAATAAAACAAAGAAAGATATTACTTAGTGGCCAAAATTTGAAGAATTTTTCAGCAATAATTTTTGTGGGTTTTTAAAAATATTCCTTTTAAAATGTATTATCAAGTTATGGTGAAAACAACAGAGTAATAGACATTTCAACATGAAAGAATAGTTATCAAAATATAGACAGTAGTATATATAAGATATGATACATCATTGATATATTATTTTTTGAAATAATTGGAAAGGCCTGGAGTCACCCTCTCCTCCAGTAGTTGATACAGAAGCAAACACTTTCCTATACTACAAATGTCAGTAGGATAAGGATAGTTGCTTATCAATTTTAAAGAGAGGGTGGCTCAGGGCCTTTCCAATTATTAGGTAGTAAAATAGCTTCTAAATACATTAAAGAGTAGGTAAAATTAGTGAAAAAAATAGCTAGCATAAAACAAAAGAGGATATTTGTCACTCATCTGGATGGGAGGAGGTTTTTTAAACTTAAAGTAATACAAAAATTAAGTAAGAAAAGTTCAATCAATACATTGGGCTGGCCCCGTGGCTCACTCAAGAGAGTGCAGCACTGGTAGCACCAAGGCCGCGGGTTCGGATCCTATATAGGGATGGCCGGTGCGCTCACTGGTTGAGCGTGGTGAGGACCGCACCGTGGCAAGGGTTGCAATCCCCTTACTGGTTAAAGTTCAATACATTGCACTCAAAAAAATTGGAAACCTCTTCAAGTTGTAAAAGAATAAAATTAAAATGTAAAAGTCATGAACAACTCCGAAAAAACATATGGACAGGGAAATTATTCTTTTATACAATATGACACAGGGTTAATATTCTTTATACACACAGACACACACACACACACACACACAAAACCTTGAAATGAAAACATGTCAAATAATGTTTTTATGGAAATAAAAAGAAAAATGAATAAAAGAACAATAGCCCCCCAAAAGTTTAAATTACAAAGATATAGGAACATTTTTAGACTTTGTAGTAATTTTTAAATAAAATATAAAGCAAAATTGAGATAAAATTTTCTCTATCAAATTAGCAAATACTTATTTTTAAAAAAGCAAGGAAGGGCCCATTGATATCGTTTATAATGGTACAGTAAATTGGGCACTTTCATAAATTGCCCATTGCTGAGATTTTTTCTTTATAATTTTCTGTTTTGTAATTTTTCAGCAAGCCACATGAAAAACTCTTTAAATAAAAAAAGAATGTTTGGGGGCCGGCCCGTGGCTCACTTGGGTGAGTGTGGTGCTGACAACACCAAGTCAAGTCAAGGGTTAAGATCCCCTTACCGGTCATCTTTAAAAAAAAAAAAGAAGAAGAATGTTTTTAACTGTGTACTAATTATTTGTAATAACATAGAAATGTACTTATAACTGAAAATTCAAAGATGAGTGAGTCACAAAAGAGACTAGACACAAGTGCAACAACGGGGTTGGGGTCCCGTTGCTGGACACGAAAAAAGACAAAAAGGGAAAAAAAAAAAAAAAAGAAGAAGAATGTTTTTAACTGTGTACTAATTATTTGTAATAACATAGAAATGTACTTATAACTGAAAATTCAAAGATGAGTGAGTCACAAAAGAGACTAGACACAAGTGCAACAACAAAGTGCTTGCCTCAGAGTGGTGCAGTTGTGGGTGGTCATTTTTATTCTACTATTTCATACTTTACAACTTTCCATAAAGAGCATTTACTACTTTTTTCATCATAAAAGAAGTAAACTTTATTTTATATCAAGTAATTTCATATTAAATTTCCTTACATAGTATACAATGGAAAAATCTTTGATAACATAAATAGGAATGTGTTACTATGACTACATTTTCTTGATTAAGTCATTTTCCTTTCTAGGCATCATTTGGGGAGTGGAGGATAGGGAAGACTTGGATTTCCAGATTTTTCTCTGTTAACAGTTAATGGCATGTTCAGTGCCAAAAAGAAGGCTAAAATACTTGCTGTAGGATTTCCTCACATCAATACCATCTCTATTTTATTTCTACTTTATTCCCTTTACTACTGCAGTGAAAAAGGCAAAGGAACATGGCACTCTGTCCACAGACTAGAACCAAGGGTTCATCCGTCTTAATGCTCAAGGATATCTCCGCTTCTCAGAGTAGCCACTTATTAGTCTGCATAGTGGATTGAATTGTGTCCCTCCGAAAGCCCGCTGAAGGTTGAATTGTGTCCCCAAGTTTCATATATTAGAAGCTCAATCCCCACTGTAACTGCTGAGGGTGGGAAATCCTCTCATGGTAGTTGAAAGCTGGGAACTTGAAGAGGTGATTAGGTTGCAGGACCATGTAGTGAATGGATTAAAAATGGTGGCCATGGGCGTGGTTCTGAGGGCTTTAAAAGGAGAGTGAATGAGGAGGTTATCCTCTTACTCTCTCTTTGCTCTATCTGTTCTGCCATTTTGCAATGTGATAATCTGCCATCACTGAAGTCACCACCAAAGAAACCCTTCACTGGATGTGTTCCCTGGACTTTGGGCTTCCTAGCCTCTGAAACTGTAAGCCACATATTTTGTTTTCTTATAAGTTACCTAGTTGCATGTATTTTGATATAAGAAACAGAAAGTCAGACTAATACAGTCAGACTAATAAAGTCATCTGTAAATTTGCCTGAGCCTCTTTCAAACATATTTATATTTCTTCATCTATCATCATATATATAACTTTCAGAAATTGGTTATTTTTGTAAAATTTCTTTTTAGTTGTCTGAAACTTACTTAGGTTGGCTCTTCTACGAATTCCCAATCATCTCAACTATTACTCTGGAGACAATTCCCTTCTGTGAAAGCAGCATCAAAGGCATTGATTCTCCTACTAGAGAGTTCTCTGTTTTTAACTGTTACCTGAAGGAACCAAAAGCCTATAGCCCATGTTTTAGCGGACACTGAGTTAAGAGATGAAATCAGTTCTTTCCTCTTTCTTTCTACCTCAGACTCACTGAATAATGTGTTTAAATAAAATTTCTAAAATGAAAATGGGAAGAAAAACATTATAAAATTGGCATTGGCTAAATTGTGCAACTCCACACAATTAACAATTAAGAGAAACTTTGTCCAAGAAAGCATGAAAATTACCTTCTTTACATTGCCATTTTTAATCCAATTTATTAATTCTGCCTTTAAGTTGTCTTCATATTTTCTAGTATCCAACTTTTTAATGACTATTTTGTTCTTAAAATGAATGAAGTTCTCTGGACACAACTCCTTGGGGAAAAAAACCCCACAAAATTAGTTTAAATTATGCAACCTACATTAAAAAAATACAATGATATATTAAAGTTTACTTATCTCCTTAACCAAATTTGCAAATTTGTTGAGGGCAGAGGCTGTTGAACATCTTTTTATCTTTCCCTAACTTCTAATGCATAAACCTATGATGATGCATGAACTCTTCAAAAAGAAAGAATGGAGAGCACAGTCAAGGAAAAGATAAAAATTGACAGAGAGAAGAGAATGCAATAGAAGAGAATAGAGAAATATGAATCCAAAAAGAGAACTAAAGTAATATATCTCAAAGCTAAAAGAAGAAATATTTTCAAGAATTATAGGATATTCCACATTATAAAATGCAAGAGTTAAGAAGAATGTCTGAGAAGAAAAAATAACTGATTATTTCAAAATATCGGCTTCAATTAAGTCGAGAGAATAAATGTGCTTAACTGAAGAGTAATTTTTGCCATATTCTTTAATAGCATTAACTAAAGTTGTGAGTATGTATTTATTTGTATATTTACCTGAGCCCTGGGCCAAGTTTTCCAGACTTGAACCATGGTATCATAAAGCTGGATGCTTTCTTGAGGGGAAAGAGTAAGATCAGGAGGGAATCCATATTTTTCAATCTGTGAATAAATTAGTTAATTGATGGATGGATAAATGAATAAAATGGGAATCTTTACTTTTTCTTCTATTTCATCTTATGTCATAAACTTTGCTTCAAGTCTTTATTCATGAATCCAGGGACATTAACAGGCAATAAACTGAAATATTTCACCCTTTCAAGGATCTAACTGTTAAAATCTTAACTAAGACCATCCTTAACCTGCTGAATTAGAAAAACTCCAAAGTTCATTAATAAGTTTTCATATTATTTCCTAAGACTATTTGTACTAGATAATAAACCAACAGCTCTTTTTACGAAACATCTCTAGAATACCTTTGAAGGTACTGGCAGTTAGAAAATATAAACACTCATAGTACACAATCTCAGTGTAGACAAGAAATATAGTTTCTTGTTTGAAATATCTCTTTGAAACTGAAATTGAATAAGTTTAGAGATAAAGATGAATTTATGATTTTATGGGTACTAAGCCATGAAGAAAGAGACAAAGCTCTATTAGCTAGAGATCCAACGTTAAGAGGTGGGCCAACTTTATTTATGCAGACAAAAGATCTCAAACAACCTTCAGATACTCAAAGAAATTTCTACCTTATGGCTGCCCACGTTACTGACCATATTCTCTCTTAAGCCCTCAGAACATGTGCACTAATTATTCCTCTTACAAATACTTTTAGTGTTAGCTACCTGTCTAGCACAGTTTCAGACACGAGAAAAAAAAAATCCACCCTCATAGAGCTTACGTTCTCTACTCCTGTGGTTTCAAACATCACTACTCCTAATCTACTGTGGGTGAAAGGGCTAGAATAACATTTTCCAAATCATGACCACTGAAGGAAAAAATTTAGGATGGGGGATCTATGGGAAATTCCCTATTAAACACAATTAACGAAACATCTTTGTTTCAAGATTTGTTATGTTGATGTACACTGTGAATCTCCAAGAAAGAAATATGGCACAACACTTCTCCCAAACATTTGATAAAGAACTCTTGTTTTAAGCAATACCTATTATTCATTCCTAGGAGATTACTTGTTCCTAGAAGATTGGAAATACTGGGCTACTGCAGTATTTGGAGCCACTCCAAAGATAACACATTTTGGAAAGGATACAACGATGTTTGTTGTGGTGGACAGTGCAGCACGGTTGGAAGTCTAATCCCAGATTTAATTATTAGCTCCCTGGGTTTTGGTTTTCTCATCTATACTATGACAATGACAATGTCTTCACTGTTTGTCTTTCAGATTTGTGGTGAGACTCAAATGAGTTAAATATACTCAGACTTTTTTCCTACTATGGTATGCAACATAAAGAGTCATCATTTACCAACTCTCAGATTGGATTTATGAAGCTAGCTAGATGGCAAAGACTACATTTGAACAGACTAGTAAACTTATACATTACCTTAGAAAGTGAGGATTTCAGAATTGTATAAATTATATTGTGTAAGTGATGACATATTCTGTCTCTAAATGAGGCTATTCCTGACTTAAGTAATTAGAGCTTTCTAAGAATTATAAGATTCTTATTAATGCTATGCTTCTATTTTGGTCTCTGGAATATTAGTGTTGTAATTTCCAAAGTGTCTCCCATTCTTTTTCAGGTGCCTTAGTTTCTTCATCTCTAAAATGAGGATTATTATCCTTATGACACAGGTTTGTCATGAAGACTGAATGAGGTAATATATTTAATATGCTATTAAAATGTCTAGCTCTTTTTTAGTATCCTGCCTATAAAGGTGATTGACTATCAACTTACAGGTATTTGTTATCATCCATTTATCAACTCTAACACTAAAAGAGTACATTAAACTCAGTTGTTCTCCTCTGCACATGTGATTAGCTGGTATATCTTAGGCCAGCCTAGATGATATATAAAATGATATTGAAAGATGGCATATAAGGGAAAATATCATTGGTTTGTTCAACTTCTTCATTCATAAACACAATCATATCTTACCACAATGTTCTTTTTACAAAAATAAAATAAAATGAAACAGAATAGAAAATGACTCAAAAGTCATAGGCAATGGTAAACATTTATCTGAACTGGATGGAAAGGGACAGACAGTAGTTCTTTCTAGGACTGCCTCCTGCTGACAGCTTCTCAGGAAGCTAAGCAGCTGTTCTTTTATGGCAGCATAATTCACAGCAAAGGCTATGTAGCTCTTTACTTTGCAACAAGCCACATCTGGATTGAAGGTGATCCCTCACCACAGCTGGATTAATGCACTCACCCTGATCCTTCCCTTCCTCTCTGAAGCTATTTCTATGAGAGTTAACAGAGGAGAGGACCCAGGTCAGAATTTCCCTTTCATTCTTCTTTTGTTACCTCAATACATTTTGCCTCCCCTCATGACTTAGCAATTTCAATTTAATCTGATGGATGCTATGCTAGAACTGGAAGAAGTTGCACATGTAGATAGACCAACTTACTATTATTGCCCTAAAAGCACAGGAAAGTTCTATGTAAGTACACACCTCACAAATTTAACCACAGTTGTCTAAACATTTAAAGAAAGCATGTGTCTGTATCTATCCCCAGGTATAAAAAAGTAAACAGTAAAAGAGTAGAGATTGAGGAAGACTCATACAACAGCATAACCATGCAGAAGTCATACAAGGTCAGAGCACACTGTAGTCATTCTGTTGTTTTCCAGTTACTCCATTAATAGCTGCTGATGATAGAGGAAGGCATGTGGCCCAAAACGATGATCTCACCAAGTACTCTAAGCCACTGAACTCCCAATTACTTAAAGATAAGCTGTCTTGAATCATGCTAAGCAAAGTAAACCATAAAAAAAATTGTAAAATACTATGCAATTAGAAACTTCCTGGAATCCTATGCAGAAAATGTCAGAAAATCATTGGAAAACTTAAAAAATGATGTGTCTTTCTCATATATCTACTTTCTAGACTTAGAGGCAGGGATGGAGAAAGACATGAGGGACAGGAATGTGTCTTATAACATTTGGTATGTCATTGCAAACAAAGAGGCTACATAATAAAATTCTATTTGAAAACTTTCATGAGACAGAATCACTTCAGTTGGGTTTTACATACTCTTACTCGTCACAGCTCAGAGTCCATGAAATCATTTCCAATTAACCCCTCACTCATGCATTCAATCCACAATTTTTTTTGATATAACACTGCAGTTAAGAGCATTACACTTTGGGGTCAGACCATCTGAAATTTGTATCCTAGCCCAACAGTTACTAACTCTTGGGCTTACTCAGTTACTGAGCCCTTGGGCTAGTTATATAACCTCCATATTCCTCTCTTTCCTCATCCATAAGTTTGGAATAATCATAGTACTCTTATAATAAAGTTATTGTGAAGGTTAAAATACAAATAATAAGCTATATACTATCAGAAAAGAAGATTACTTTCATATGTGAGATCATAGAAAGACTTATGTTATGAATAAGGTCCCACATTGGCAGAGACATGGAAGATGAATAAGATCTGGAAATCTAGAGATTGGCATCTGGAGTGAAGCATCGCATGTACAATATATTACACGAGGTCTTCCAGGTAAGTCACATTCAGGGTTTTGGTGGAAAAGAAAGTGGGTTACATTATAGAAGACCTTGGATGCCAGGCTAAGAAGTTTGAAATTTATTTGTTTCCAATGAAGAACTATTGAAAGCTTTTGAGTAGATGAGGTAGAGGATCAGAAGTACATTTCAGGAAGATTAATGGAGTAGCAGATTTTTGAACATAGCATAATGAAAAGAGGACCAGCTACTGGCCAAAATCATTATACCTTTGAGAGGCATACGTGCCTACATGACCTAGTCATGGGAATAGGATGGAAAAGCAGGAGAGAAAAGCAAGAGAAATTAATAGACCTTCTCACACTTGTAATCCAGTGCACCCATCTGAGATTTCTTAAGGCCTCTACATTATCATGAAATCTACCATAAAAAAATCATGTTGAGATCTTCTTATTAGTAGGAAATGCCTCTTCCTTGTTCAGACAATTTGATAGTGAGCAAATTCTGACATGAATAAAGGGTGCCCATACAGTTTTAGCAGCACTATTAGTCACAGAAAACTGGAAGACAGAAATATGTACTAAGAAGCTAGGTAGGGAAAGACAATGTCTGTAAATAAAGACAAAGAATAAACTAACCAAAGAACTCAAATTAGAATTCTCCATTACTTCCTCTCTAGAGGTAGTTATTCATCTTTGGGTGTCCCAGATAACTCTGAAGATCTAATGAAAGCTAGAATAATTATATATACACAAAATTTTTAGGGGTTTTGCCCTCTCCCATGAAGTCCATTCTTGATGCCCACGCTCCTAGGGTTCAGATTATCTGTGTATGCTGCAATTCTATGAAGATTAATTAAACCACTTTCCAGCTGTAACATACACTAAAAATTCCACTAACAGAACAAATGCGGCTTTATACTTACAAGATCTGTCGTTAATGCTGCACATGGGTGAAAATGATCAAAATAAATATCATCATGTTTTAGTGAACATATATGCTTCTCTAAATCATTGTTTCTCTCTCCATAGAGCACTAAAAATTAAAAGCAAGGATTTCAAAATTAATGGATATATAATGATTGGAATATAGATAACTTTAAAGTGAAATGTAAAAATCCCTGTACTTCTATATACAGCTTACCAAGTCGAACTTCATAGGATTGATTTATATGCAAGTTGTCTTTGAGAAAGTGGAAACACTTGTCAGCCTTTTTTTCAGAAGTAAATTTTTCCTCCATAATCTTGTCTTCCTGTTTCCAGTAACGTTTTACTGATTGCAGCCACCTTAAAGAATAAATATGCATATTATATAAGCAGAGTATGAAAATATTTATCAAGATCTTAGATGTTTTAAGAAAAGAAAATTTCACAAATCTAAAAATATATGCATAAGCACATGGGCTCTGGATTTAACCTGCCTGAGTTTGAATCCTAGCTCCATCATTTCATAGCCATAGACTTTTGGGACATTTTCTCAACTTCTCTATGCCTCCATTGCTTCATCAGAAAAAGAAGAATAATAATAGTCTCTTCCTAATAAGGTCATTATAAGAATTAATAAATTAATGTACCTGTCATATAGGAAACACTACATATCTGTTGTTATTGTTGTTACTAGGGAAAATCGAATCAGGTAACAAAACAATAATTGATACTCAAATAATGTTTTGTTTTTATGATCAGCCATCTGCAGATTTAGTAACTGTGTCCAAGTTATTTCCATTTTAGCTTTACTTCTTGGATAAGGACAAAGAAAAGGGGATGCAATTCTGTCACTTCAGATGACATTTATTTGAGAATTTTTGAAAATTTTCTTACACCATTTCAGATCTGGCTGTGAGAGACCTTGATTTTTTTGAGGGAAGATGTCTCCCTTCTATGACTTCCAGGGAGTATATCTTCAAAAAATTTTTAGAGAAGTGATATTCTCTGAAGTTTCACAAACCAGGTAATACATTTATTTGAGTTATAACATTATAGAAATAACCTTAAAGACTGAAGATCATATAAATAGTATATAATTCAACCATTCAATATATAAGAAATATGTACTTACTCAGTGAGATGATTAGGGTTATTTATGGTAGCTGAAAGAACCAAAAAGGGACATCGGATCATGACAAGGAGAAGCTCCCAAAGTTTTCCTCCAGTTTCTCTGCCAAGATAATGGACCTAGTGAGAAAAAAAAAAAATTATCAGTTGAAAAGTTGATTTCAAAATGGAAAAACAGCATAGAAGTATAAAATAGTCATGCACATTTTTCCAGGTTTATATAGTTACGCAAGCCTAAATAAAGTGAATAGTAATGAATTCAGGCAATAGAGACCACTGACATTTAACTCTTTTTCAGTATTCATAACTAATCCATCATCAATTCCTATAGATTCCAACTGCAAAAATCTATTTTGAAGCCATGTTTTCCTCTCTATCCCTATTGTTATTCAAGCTACCATCATCTGGCTTTCTTTAATAGCATTTCGACTGTTCTCTTGGCTTTCACGCTTTCCCTATACATTCTTAACATCACAGACATCATAAACATAAATTAAATTAGGGTCCTGTCCCTAATTAAAGCCCTACGATGTCTTCCCAATGAATTTAGAGCAAACAATAAACAGCTTAACCGGAAGTGTAACTTCCTGCATAATCTGGCCCTTGCTTATCTCTCCAACCTCATCTCTGGTCACTCTTCCCAGCATTCATGCTGCTCCAGACATACTGGCCTTCTTTTCATTCCTTGAACACATCAGTCCCCCTCAGGACCTTCACACACACTACTCCCTCTACTGAAAACTCTCATCCACCTCTCTCTGCTGACTATTCCTGCTTACCCTGCAAAGCTCAGCTGGGTCACTCCCTCAGAAATACCTTTCCTGGGCACGCACTCTAAATTTGTTCTGATTTCTCATTTTGCCATTATCTTTGTCAAAACAGACTGATCTTTTCTTCAGAGTTCTTATCACAACGTTTACTTATATTCTCACTGGTGCCTTTCCTTCTTTAATTACTCTCTTCCTTACTGGTATACCAGCGGACAAGTACAGGGCCTAGCACATAATAAGTACTCAATTAATGTTTGTTGAATAAATAAATCAATTGTCTTTGACAAAATAATACAAATTAAGACTTAGAGAGGGGGTCCAAAATTTGATCTTAATTTTAACTTATATTCTCACTGGTGCCTTTCCTTCTTTAATTACTCTCTTCCTTACTGGTATACCAGCAGACAAGTACAGGGCCTAGCACATAATAAGTACTCAATTAATGTTTGTTGAATAAATAAATCAATTATCTTTGACAAAATAATACAAATTAAGACTTAGAGAGGGGGTCCAAAATTTGATCTTAATTTTTAAAAAAATGAGACGTGATTCAACTGGAAAGACTTACTATCAGAGCCTAATAATAAACAAATAAACCAGTATATTTCTATATCCCTTCTCACTTTGATCTGGTCAAATGGTAGACCACTTTTTTCCAATGCTAATCTCATATTTTGTAGCAGCTAGCAATGTCTCTGAACTTTCTAGAATAGATAATTTTTAAAACCTTCCTACAAGCAAGTTTTATGCATGTATAAATTGGGAAAACTGAGTTACCCAAGTTTTAAAATCATTGGGCTTATTCATTTTGAGAAAAGACCACAATTCAAGGTTCCAGATTGTGAAGACCAAGGATTTGGTTTTGTTTCCTCTTCAAATAAAAATGTTGGAGGTCAAGAGGACATGTATAGCCCAATGAATAAAAAAGAAGTAATGTATTTCAAGGTCAAAGAATGTTAGCCTGCTGCCAATTTCACACAAGGAAAGGGTAGACTCACTACAGGTTTGTCATCTAGTTTTCTTTTAAGTTGAAATTGCTTGAAGCAAAGAATTATACAGCTTGCATTCTATTTACATCACTTTCAATTCACATTGGTAAAAATATGCCTATGTCCCTCCAGATCTACACCATTCTCCATCTTGCTCTCTGACCAATGAGTCTGACCTGGGGAACTTGGTCAACCAGCCTCCCTAACTCTCTAGCTTGGGTTTGGCTGGTGAATAGCACAGGCAAGAGGTGGGAAGGAGGGAAGACAGTGAGGTCAAAGTCTTTATTCTGTGGCTTCCTCCCTAAGAGGTTGACTTTGGCCGTCTGTGTTCCTCCACCAAGCTCACTGCTTTCCCCAAGGAGCCATGTCTATAGACTCTTGAGTTCCATACTGCTTCCTCCTCCCTTCATCCCTACAGATTAATAAGAGCTTGGGGCTGGTACTATTTCTGGATTACCACACTTACCTTGTGGTTTCCCTTGCACAAACCTTTGTAAACAGCTCCCTTGTAAAAACACTATCCTAAATGCTAATTTGGATATGCAATCTATTTTTAATTGATACCATGGCTGACACACAACTTAGATAATTATCGTCATTGACAGAGCCCCACATCCTTCAAATTAGAACTTATAGTGTATATGCATCCTGGGACATCAACCCATAGAAATAATACCAAACCTACCTCATCAAATATAACATATCTGATCCTTTTCACCCATTTTTGGCAACGGGGAGCAAGCAACAGATTTTCAAAACATGCAGGCACCGTAATAAGTACCTAAAAATATGAATGATTATTGTAGTTAACTGAGCATTTATTTTGCGTCAGGCATGGTAATAAAAACCTACAAAGTATGTGTGTATGACTCACACTGCGTGTACCTACTGGTAATTAGGATAGAATATTGCTGCCAAGGACAGTCTCATTAAGATCATGTTGTAGGTTTGACATTTGTAGTTTAAGTCCTTGTATTTATGAACACTTGGATTAATGAAAATGAGAAAAAGCTAATAATCTCTAATAACTGTTTTACATTTTGTTTAGTCTTAATTGTTTATCTAATAAGTTCAATAAGGGAGATCATCTATCTTTATCTATAATTTACCTAACAACAGATGTACTATCAAAACAATCTTTTTTGAGACAAGTTTTTATTATGAGTATCCTTAAATATTGTTCACAAGAACAAGAAATTTTGAATGGAAAGAAGAGCTTGGGTAGTTATTTAATAACACATTGGGTTTGTCAAATCTATTTCAATCTTTTCATAAATCAGGATGAGATATAATAACCTACTATATGAAATTTCAGATCATAATCTAAGCGTTCTTTGAGAACCTTAAGCCTAGTTTTCACTCTTTAGAGTGGAACAGCTTTAAATTTTCCTTACAGTAATTTCATTTTTCATAAATTCAATGAAGCAAGTTGCTCAAGGGTTTGCAACTATGCAGATTCCCAGTAAAAGAGCTACATAAGTACTGTTCTATAATTTGATATTAACTAATTAAATAATATGCCTTACCTGACAGTTCAGTGCATTGTAACAGTAATCTCTTGTGAAAGCACCACACAGGACTCTGCCATGTGGCAACTTTTTAGTAAAACGATTCTGAACAGTTGCTACCACTTGACCAACAAGGGCCTGATTAACAAGGAAAAAGATCCATTAGTTACTTTGTGAAGAAGAGACATATAAAACCTCAGAGGACAGCAGAATCTGTCTATCGGTGTACTACTCCATGATACTAAAAAGCTTATCCCCTTTTCTATCCCATAGTATTACATGGCTATATTTGATACTTCACTAAACTAATAAGGCTCAGCTGATAACACTTAGTGGAGAGTAAATGGAAATAAGCATGGCTTCATCTAAAAAAAATCCGGAAAAGATCCCCATACTTGTCACTCTCCTGCTCGGGGACTCCCCCCAGATTTCTTCACCAGAATTACGTTTTGGATTCATCAGGTAGCTTGGCTAGTCAAACCTAAGAAGCTCTATCTACTGCACATCTTATGAAAAAAATAAAAGGATGGAAGGAAAGAAGGAAATATAAATTGGTTCAAACTTGAGAGTAATTTGGCAAAATGTACATCAAAAGCTCTAGCAATTACACTCTAGCAATCCTTATTCCTTTTTTCTAAATGTCCTGCAATAAAACTTTACTGCTTTAAAAATTTTTTTTTAAAAAAGGTATTTTAAAAATTAAGCAAAGTCCTAATTTTAATTAAACATGGAGCTTTATTTGGGTATGGGGCTGAACCCATCTATTTTTGAGATACTTGGTTAAACATATGAGACTAACTGTAGAGTAAAATGAAAAGAAATATGATTTTATCAGAGGAAAAAAATTGACGGGATTCTTGCACAGCAGAAGAAAAAGCTGAATAGCTTTATTAAACAAATGCCATGAGTTCTTCTTTCTACAAACTGAAATGCAAAGAATAACAGGCACCCAAGTGTATCTGCCCTCCTTAGAATAACATATCAAGCCCAGGAGTTTGAAAATGAGAATATACAAATTTATGCTTTCTGTAAATCAAACTACCTCCTGAAAGTCCAGAGATTTATGTAAGGTATTCGTTCCATTTCCAAGTTTAACATCAAGCAGAACTAGCCATAAAGAAAATATGTCATTGTAACCTGGCTGGAAAACAGATCAATTATTAACGCCCAAAACAGACCAAACATATCCTATAAGTCCTGCAAAGCTCTTAGGTCCTTAGGTGACCCTCAAGGTGGCACAGTAAAGGCAGATGCTTCTCTCAATACAAGCAGAATGCCTAATCTGAATGCAAAGTCAAGGTCTGGAAGCCAAACTTGTCCCTAAATTCTAAGGAAAGTGTCATTGTGGCTTTTGAAGCTGGAAAGAGAAAATGCAGGTTAAAAAATAAAGTGAACTAGATTCATCACGTGTGAATTATTTTTAAGGAGGAGGTTCAGAAATGAAAGAGAATGTTACATTCACTCGAGCTTTACCTTTGTGGGTGCAACATACACAACCACCCCTTCATCGCTCTCCGTCAGCACTTTCTCCATGCAGTAGTAGGAAGCATAGGTTTTGCCTGAGGACGTTGGGGCAACGATCACTGCTGACTCATAATTATCCACGACGTCGAGGAGCTCTCGCTGCATGGTTCAGAGCACCATTTTTGTCAAGAAAGTGAACAGGTTGTTACCAAAACAAAGACAATATCCTTTGTACCCTCTATCTGCTGTCTTCGTGTTATGCTACATACATGAGAACCCTCTGAACCTCTGAAGACTAGGTGGGGTAAACACTCAGGAGGATTCAGGAGAATGCCTGGTGTATTCATGTCATTCCCTCAGAAAAGATTTTATTTTACATTTTGGTCTGGAGGGAGGGTTTCATCTCTGAAAAATGGAAAGTGAGACTGAGTAAAATATCGTTTTCCACCAGAAAACCTTTTCCTTTTAATAGTCATTTAGTAAGTACAGAAACAGCTTTGCAAAATTGAGTTCTAAGAGTTAGTGATGCCATATCAACATAGCTTTACATACAAATAGATACTAATATATCTTTTCCTAATGGTGAAAATAAAAAGGCCAAGAAGGAAAAAAGTCAATGATCTGTCAAACTCTAGTTACATGCTCCAGGCACAGGAGAAAACCATCTACTACCTTTGAGAATGTGTGAGAGTTTCACAGGCACACAACCCTTGGGCCTGTGCTTATATCATGTCAACATGATCACTAGCCAAAGAATTGTAACACTGCTCGATGTATCATGAGCAGCAAGTAGGAAAACACACCTGCCTGTGTACCCTCATTACTCAGGGTCTCCTCCCAGAGACATCCTAGAAGGAACTGACCAGAAGAACTACAATTCGTATAGAGCTAATGAAGAATATTTAGCTGTCTTGTTAACCCCATTGAAGTAAAGAACTGCTCCTCCTGCTCCAGGGGGGGGGGGGGGGGGGGG